GTTGAGATATCGGAAGGCTTGAGTGATGTAGAGATATCCGGCTTCTGATTGCTCGTATGTTTAATAAACACTTATAGTGTAAGATCAGTAGTCTATATGATCTAAACACTTATTGTGTAAGATTAGTAGTCTATATGATCACCAAACTATTAGTTAACTTTCCTGATTTGTTTATAACTAGATACTAATTAGCTTTTTGTGATTAGTATCCATATGTATAAACAATCAAAAAATCAGTGTAGAATTATGCACAGACGTTTCTATACGTTAAAATAATTTTATTTGCGAGCTTTCAGCCCTCTTACCGGAGCCTTCATCGGGCAACAATGTACTGAGCGATATATATTCGTTTATCTGTGGAACACTGCTTTAAAATATGTATCTAGGCAACAATAACTGACATCTGGTATTAAAGTTAATAATCACATAAAATTATGATGAACATAAAAGATAAGTATATTACTTCAGTATAATAAACATAAGAGAAATACAATTATAAGAATTACAAAGAGAAATACAAATAATTTTTTTCATACTTCAAATAATAAATTGTAAAATTAAACCTCTTCTATACACACGCATGTTTGTTTCAGTGTAACTTGTTTGTTCACAGGTACACACAAGAAATATGTATATTCTAGTAAATAACTAATACATACTATCAATTACTTTTAATCAACTTTCGGTCATTTTTTTTTATACAAGTACTTTTCCTGGCTTCAAAGTAACATTTTTTTTATTAGAACTCAACATAAACTTTCCACTAAGTCTTAAATCAATGCATCAGATTTTATATAAATATGTTGGATACAACAAATACACAAAAGACAATTTAGTGCAAAAGAATAACACAAAAACAAATACGATTTTTTGATTATTTTTCGGATATCTGTGCAAGGCTACTCAAACGTTACCTATACTAGCTGTCGCTAATTTTTTAATGATAGAGGGATAGCAGCTAGCCAACGGCACCCACTGACGACAACTTCTGTCCATTCAAAACAGTAAGATCTAAACATCGATATTATAATAAACCATGGCCCTAAAGTGAGGCACACTAACTACTGGGCCATGCATTGCCCCCATAAATAAGAGAATGTATACTTGTATTAGACAAAGTCTGTTTTGATTCAGGAATTCTACTCTCAGCATATAAATTTGTTTGTGAAAAATTACTAAGTATACATTTAATAAGCTTTTAAATAATGGAATGTATAGGAAGTAAATCATATATTCTATGGTAGCAGTTTGCTTACATTATGAATATACATCTGCAGCTTGACCTTCGCCAGTGAATAGATGAGGATTGCTTAAAATAATATTTAACCACACTTTTGAGTTAAATTATAGCTAACATTTCAAAGCAAGCTTTTTCCCAAGCTTATGAGCCAGTGTATGATATATTCCACTTTAACTTGACAATAAACGATTTCAGACACTACATTATTCACTCCTGCATAACCAAAAGGCTCTCAAAGGTCAAAAACACTTAACTCCTTTGCTTCACGACAGATTTTGGATATATGCTCATAGAAGTTTTGGACTTTTGACAAGATTTACTGATTCTGTTGCAATGAATAAAAAAAAAAAAAAACAAGCTTGAAAACAATGAGTTATATAAATATGGGATAACATATGCATAAGGTTATCCTATGTTCAATAGCACACCTTAACCTCCTTTTTTTGTAGGATGGATAATCGCTTGAAGGAGTTAATGGAACGTGAACCATTATAACAAGTATGTACAAGCACTTAAAACATATAAGTTTTTTTAAATAACATTCAAAATGCATATATTGAAGCACTGACTTGAAATGTATGAAAGCTGAAGAGTTTCACTAATTGTACACAGTATTTCAAAGGAAATATTTTATTATATTTGGAAAAGTTTAGGCTAAGACAAATGTAAAATTAATTGAGCACCACAATTCAATAACTTCAGAGTTGCACCACTATTGATATCACATATTTTTCTGAGTGTAAACGGAACTAAGCATGTTTGTTTTTCAGTTGTTTCATACATTCAGATTTTGGAATAAATAAATGCTAATGCATTTCTGCAAAGTAATGATTTTATGTTTGCAGAACACATACTGAGCTGTAAGCCGTGAAGTACGATATGTCATTCTATATAGATTTTCTAAAAGTATTAGGAGAGATATATAATTCAAATACATGGGTCAAGCACCATTTTGTTCATGTTTCATTTGATTACTTTGAATATTACACAGAAACAACAACCCAATAAAAGTGGTAGGGTTGTAGATTATGTCTTGTTAGGTGAAGAAAAGCCCTTATACTGATCAAATTCACGTGAAACTCTACAGATCTCAAACTCAATTAGAAAACTGTTTCAAATTTCTACATTTTTTTTTGTATCGAGTTCTTAAATTTACTGTCATCAAAATTCATCACTAATGACTAATTCCATCAAATCTTCATACTAGTAAAACAAACAATCTTGTCAGCTAAACCGAAATAATGGTATCGAAAGTAAATAAAAGCATTTTTCGTTAAAGTATACCGATAAATATCACATATTATGTATGTACTACATTAGGACTTGCTATACTGATACACATTTGTTGAGTTTTACTTAGGAATAACTGAAGCAAAAAACATGTATCTCATACATATTAATAAGATTTATAATAAACTTCACTTGTTACTCTAAAGACACATTTCCTTTCACTCTCTACCGATAAAACATTTTTCGAAATTTAAAGGTTAATTAAAAGAATTTCCTTACCTGGCCCGATATGTCAAGTTCAAGTACTCAGTACGACATTACCCAATACTACTTATTTACCAAATTTCTTAGTTTTGGAACCACTCTTTTAAATGATTATTGGGCTACATATAGTTCAAAAACTACTTATTATTTTAAAATACATAACAAGTTTTATCATTTGATCAAAAGGACAATTAATAAGTTTGAGAATGATATAAAACACCTATATTTATACAGATGAAATTTTAATAGACCTTTTTTCAGCAGGGGGATCAGGGACATAAACCACTTCTCATACTTCCATGTGCCTCATTCCCTTGAAGGGACTGCAGAACTGTACATCTTATTCAAATTAAAAAAAAAGTGACGAAGTAACTAATTTACTACTATACTTTAATGAAGTGGTAGCTTCTGCCTGTGGTGTATTTTCAAGATGTATGGCCACATGTACTATCCAATTATAAAATAGTTGAATCTGATCAGATATAAGGAGATGGATATCTGACCAAAATTACTATTCATTCCACTCCTAGATAAGCCATTCTAGTTCTATATTACTGTACAGTCATCGGCACTGTTACTGAAGACACAAACCCTTTTTTTACTTATATAATTAATTTGTCAAGCTAAATGTTTTAGCCATGTTTCATTATTAATAAAAATAAAAACCTTCAAAGAACAATCTTCTCTTGACTGTCTAGTTATTGTAACCAATAACAAATTACCATTTGTTTTTATTTCCATTCTGAAAGAACAAAACATTAAATGTTGTTTGATTTGATTCAGCCCAAGCAATCTTATCTAGCTACTTAAATGAAACATTTAAACTTCATTCTTGTGGTTTGATGTAATGTGTCACAAGTAAGGCCTGGTTCAGCTTGATATGATTAAGCTCAGGCAATTTTATTTAGCTCCATAAATAAAACATTTTATCATTTAGACTTCATTCTTGTGGTCTGATATAATGTGTCACAAGTAAGGCCTGGTTCCTTCTTCACACAGCTAAGAATTATATCATCTGCACTCTTTCAATGTGCATCTTTTGTGGAAAGCTGTATGGCCTTTTCTCATGCATCTGTGACTTCAATACGTACAGGGTGAGATGATGTTGAAAATAGGCAACATTTATAACCACTTTCTCATTTAATACAGATATGACATTGTGCTTCTCTTGTACAGAAAAAATTCTAATGTACAGTCTTTATATAGCATGTCCCCTTTATACATTGCATAATTTCATTGTTAGTGCATTCCAACATTGACTAATTTTCCAGGTGTAGTGTTTACCAGTTAATACCAATATGTTTGAAACAATGTTGCCTTGTTTCATTACCAGAGTGTTAATCCTCTCTGCCCAGGCATCCTTTATTGTGCATGAGGGTTTTTGTGAGTTACATCCAAAATTTAATTAAACTACTTTTTGTTTATGTTATACCAATTAGTATAGCATAAAATTGTAGCTAATTCAAATTTTAACAGCATATAAGTTATAATTTCTTAATTTTATTAGGCAATATTAAAACAAAATCCTGAATTTTCCCTCGTGTGAGAAATGTGACATTTTTTCTCTAGGCATCCCTTCTCTAATTTATTCACCACCCCTCCAACAAGTGTGAAATTTAACATAAGTTACTCACTATTATAATGTCATTGCACTGACAAAGCATAATTATATTAGCCTTCAGTCTTGTTTGGTTACTAGCTTTGTTCCCATGGGAAAGATATTACGTGGTCAATCAATTCAACCGAGCCCGGACTAGTTTACTAGGCATGGTGTTCAACAATTACTGTACAGTACTGTACTACCAATATATGTGTGAAACAATGTTGCCTTATCAAGATGGTGGAGAATGTAAACACGCTGTGTTCGCATGCATGTTTTGTATAGTACACTGTAGTTAAAAAAGCTATGTTACACCCTTTAAAAAGGTTATTCAAGAGTAGACCAAAACTTTTCAGGAACATCCCCCCCCCCCATAATACGTGTAAAGATTGTGTTGCTAAACATTGTATCAGATGTACGTCCCACTTTCCAGGAACGCATCATGGTGTATAATGGGGACCCCCTGTATTTGATTACATCTGCCACATAATATTAGTATAACTCAGGTCTAAATGGCACTTCAACATAAAGCAAAGCTAGGTAAAGTACTTCAAAGGTTTCATAAACTTCACTCTTCTAATTGTATTCTTTTTGTATATTAAATATCCAGTAAAAATTTTAAAAAATCAAACCAATTTTATTACAAAGAAGGACAAAAACAAATCATAATAAAAATATTTGGTTCTATTCATTGCAAATCACTACAAACGTGTCTTTTTCATAAGCTACATAGAAGAATATCATTCAGCAGTTAAAAAGTGTGTATGTGTTAAACAGTGAATTAAAAAATTGGTGTTAAAAAAAACAATCTATTAATAACAAAACTAAGAAATTAGAAATTTGATCCTTAATACAATGGGAATGTTTAACTTTACATTACAAATGAACTCCGGATTGAAGAATTTCCATAAGATGTTATATTTTTAGTGTGCTTTTAATATCAGAACCACAAAATGAGAAAGTCATCATGATGGCTGATGTAGACCATAAAGCCAATGTAGGTCACTTACTGTTGGGGAAGAGCTTATGTCACTTTCCAACTTCAAAAATAGATAAATTGGATTTTACTGTTACATCAATGTAGGTCATTTACTGTTGAGGAAGAGCTTATGTCACTTTCCAACTTCAAAAATTGGATTTTACTGTTACATCAATGTATAAGACATATCAGCATTTCAAATTTAATTAAAATGTTATACTAAAAACGAAAACTTAAAATTGTCTTGACATTTCAATCACTGGAAACTCCTAACTGCCCCTCTCTAAAATCAAGGTTTTACAAAAAAAAAAGACTACAAAATCAAGGAAGTTTTCTCATATCCCCCCCAAAAAAGACCCGAGTTAAATCCAAACTATTCTGCTACCCACACAATCTTATGATGATTACTAAGTGTAGATGTTAAAAAATATTTTGGAAACATTACAGCTAATGTATTTGAGAATGAATAACAATACCTATATACTCAAACAAGAGCCACTACACAAATATCAATAATTAAACTTCACATGTTCCGAAAAAATGCTATCTTTCACGTTGTTTAATTTTTTATGTACATGTTTAATATTTTACATAAATTAATAACAAAGCCTTATTACATGAAAACATTTAAAGAAAATATTTAAAAATTTTTGAAATTATAATTAACTGTCTTTTTTTGAGAAACAGACTGTGAGGTATACAATTTTAAGAACTCTGTTTCATACTTGCAACATTTTTCATCCCAAGTTAGAAAAAAAAAGACCTTGCAACAGTGTTTATATTGAAAGGTGCTTTCCTTACAGAAAGTGAAGACTAAAAAAAAAACAAATGTTGACTACTCGCACAATTCTTAGAAATTTTAAACTCAAAATTAAAACAGCAATAATAATCATCTTTGTGAATATTTTCATACCAAGAAGCTTCTGGTTGTTTATATTCAGACTCATGGAAAAAAAAAAAATGTGTTCCCTAACAAACAAATCTTGAAAAGAAAAAGCTACAAGTATACATATACTCTGTGATCATATCAAACAAAACTTTTCAGTTCAAGATACCAAATAAAACATATACAATTTAAATTTATATAAATCTTAGAACTAGATAAAATATCTCGATGACACCTTTTCTCTGTCACATTCATTCCCAATCTTCCCAGTTATCTTGGTCCTATGTATTAAAAAAGAAATAAGTCTTGTTTGATTTGTTGAAGTAACAGAATAAAATAATCTAAAACGAAAACAGTTGCTCACTTTTTTGTACCTTCTAATAAGGAGTGTTCAAAAGGAAACAAGATTTGTTTCCCCCACATGTTGAATACTTGTAAAATTTAGCCATTAAGTGATGGTATTAGGAGGTCAATATCTGATGAGCATTAGTGGTCACATTTTGTTTCCAACTGTTAGTGTGTAAAACAACTACAAAGATAAAATGACAAAGCGCAAATGTCAATGGTTAAAGTACATATGGTGATGAATCTATCTTTTAATATGACAAAACTCTGCTGAGAAATGACATATGATGGCTGGTTGTAGTGGACAAAGCACAAATGTCAATGGTTAAAGTACATATGGTGATGAATCTATCTCTTTTAATATGACAAAACTCTGCTGAGAAATGACATATGATGGCTGGTTGCCTACAACCTCTACACCATAAGTATATGTTTGCCGGTTGTAGTGGAGAAAATTGGCCTGCAGGAGATACAAATCTTGTTTCTTTCTAAACACTTCCCATACTTTGACTGGTAAATTTTCAATACAATTTCATAACCTTACAACAAATACTATCTATTACAAGCCTACCAGTCAGTACGCAAAGCGACTCCTCAAAAAAGTTGTACGAACAAAATTGTAAATGAATTGAATGACTATTTTGAGTTAATGCTTATTTGGTAAAAACCAGTAAAGCTTTTGTGAAAAATAGATATTAAGAAAGCTGATGTTTCACCAAAATTAAATGACATTGTGTAGTTTGAAGGTAAAAATAACTCTGAAATACCAAGAGCAATATATTATCATATATAATAGCTTGCACTTGATAACTACCTCCTTATCACAACCGGCTGAAACCTGACTAGGCCATATAAGTGATTGAAACCACTTTCAGCTTGTTACAATAGAAGTTTTATTATCCAATGAGCTTTTATGATTCAAACAAATGTAAGGTAAAGAAAGAAACCTTCAGTGTTAGATCTAGCTGGAACATTACAAGCCTCAATCACACTTTTAGGGTGAAAAAGAGTATAAAGAGTAAGAGTGAAGTCTTTTCCAGATGCCTAATAAACGTAAAAGTAACTACTGTTATGTGGGTAAATGATTCCAGCAGATGCATCATGGGTACTTTTAACCCAGAACAATCGGAGATGAGAACTTTATACTTCGTGTATTGTACTATAATCATTGGTAGATTTAAGATTCTAAGAAAGGTGTGAGGGTGCCAAGTACTTAAGAAGGGTTGTGGGTCTGGGGCCAGGATTATGGGGAAGAGTCCCTATTGAATGAGAGGCCAGTAACATTTGATCAATGGAAACACTATTTTCCAAGCTTTTCCAATATTTTGTGCAGCATTACATTTGACAGGTGTAGTTGGCAAATCAATCACCAGGCCATGAAAAAGGGTGAGGAGACATACAAGGAGTGCACCCTAGTATAAAATTCCCTATAACTATATAAGGTCATGAAACAACTGCATAAATATTTAGATAATTTTCACAAATTTCTTCATGTGGAAGTTTTTGTAAATTTTATTTCCTGCAGATCATATAAAATATAGACTTTGATATTATAATTTCCAAAACTCCATTTTCTTTAGGCTGTAAAACGAAAAACAATATTATATAAAACAGTATTTCACTCGTGTAGTTAAGTAAAAGGGTGTCTTTAATTGAAACTACATCCATCACTGATTGATTAACACTTTAAAGTCTAACTGAATTTTATCAGTCACAAGAACAGTACTGGGGTAATTTTATAATAAAATGTCATATAACAGACAGTTAGCTATGAACTTTTAATACCAAGATTGTGAATTGAGAATTTGTTTCTATAAAGTTTTTTATATGTATTACCTTTTATTATCTTAACTGATTTATTCTCAATGTTTAATAGACAGATCTCTGAGAGTAAACACTTTCACTAGTATCTATGTTTGTTGAATGAATCAGTGAAATGTAAGTTTTATAGTTTTCAGTGTTACATTTTAGAACCCCGTGTGACTTGCAAAAGATACAGATTCACCAACTCAGTCAAAAAAGGAAAGAAAGAGTACTTGAATGTTTTACCTTAAGTATCATAGGGATTATATTTGAAATTTTGCAAAAGAATTCCCACATCGATAAGAATTACTGACAGCCAGAAACTCATTATGCAAAGTAATTGCTTCCTAATGTCGTGTAGCTAATGTGACCACAGCCCAGTACGATATTTTAACAGTAACCTGACTACTTCACAGTATAACATCCAAGCACCGTGACAGAACTCTTTACAGCAGGAAGTCAGTATGTTACGAATACAAAGCTTGCATGGTATATGTGCCTCAATTTCAGACAGACAAAAAGATATCCATGTCATTAAGACACAAAACACTTTATAAACTACATCACAAAGAAGACCCTGAATTCAGTTTTCTCAGTATATGTAGGCAGAAAATTACAATCTTACTACCTCAAATATTCCAGCAGACTGTGCAAGTTGCTTAGCAATTTCCTCAGCTCGTTTAAGGTCTTCATCACTCACTTCTAGGTCAAAATCTTTCTCCCATTCTTCTTCTGTGCTACAATCTAATGGATAATACAAGAACGTTTTAGTTAATCATTATTAAACAGCTAATTTCTTCAGTTTCTAAGAGAGTCTAACTTTATTAGAGTTCAACATATGATTAAAGAAATCAGCTGAAAATTGCAGAATTGCAAACCATCACTTAAAGCAACTGGTTCAAAACAGATTATAAAAACATTAGTATTTTCTGTTTGTTTTTAATTATGCACAAAGCTACACAGGAGCTATCTGTGCTCTGCCCACCACGGGTATCAAAACCCGGCTTCTAGAGTTGTAAGTCCGCAGACATATACCGCTGTGCCATTGGGGGGCTAGTATCTTCTGTACAATGTTAGTGTGTGTACATGATCATTCAAGTAAAAAACAAACATACAATTAATGCTGTTAAAATGTTACCTATCCAAGTAACTACCTACCAAAAAAATTGTTGCACTTCTAAACCCTACCTAGTTACATATATAACTAGAAGAGCAATCAGTAGAGTGCATACCTAACTCCTTCATGCAGCATTGATCATATTTGGCTCTCAAAAATATGAAAATGCATCTGTAAGTCCTTTACTATCAACAGGCATGGACCATTTCTGGCAGGACAATGAGGAGTAATATTCTACATGTGTCCACCAAGTTACATGAAAATCTGATCATTTTTGACTGAGTTATAGAGCAAAAATATTGTTAAAAATCAGTCCCCTTGTTAACAGATAGATTTTTAAACTTTTGTGACCTTGCTATAACCTTGACCTTTGATCTTCACCCTCCAAAAACTAATCATTTCTAAGTTGGGTCATAGTCCAAATGTATACCAACTTTCGTCCAGATCCATTCGGCTGTTTTCGAGAAATCTTGCTGGCAAACACACATATACATACAAACATACATACATACAGGGGTGAAACTTAACCTCCATCACTTTTGGTGGTGGAGGTAATTATAGATAGTTAAACACCATGACTGCTGGAGTTTCAACTATTCTTTACACTATTACACAAGTTTTGGAAATTTTTAAATGTCCTTCTTAAAACTTCATGCCAACAAAAAAAAATAAAATTTAATCTTAAAGTGTCTTGCTTTAATTTATATTACACAAAGTTCTATATTTAGTTGAATTTTTTTTGTATAGAAAGAAAAAAAAACACCACACAATTTATGTTGCTACATGTGTATTGTGTTAGCCGACTTCATAAGATTTGATATAACAAAAATAATGAACTTTCCTTTAAAGATGCTAATAATAACATGTGCATTCTAAAAACTGCTTTCAAGTGAGTATTTCCTAAACATACAAGTAACAATATAATTTTTGTAAATTAAATGTCACTATGAGGAATAGACAAAACAATATGTCCACGTAGAACATGACTTGAATTTTAAAGGAGCGTTCTTCAATGAAAAATCAATTAAAAATACCTAAAATAGAGAAACATTAAATACATGTAGCACTAAAAGATTAATGCTTAAGATTAAGGTCAAAATTTAATAATAAGAAGAATAAAACAAATCTTAAAATCAAAATTTAACAATGAGAAAATGAAAGCAAAGCTTAATTTATTTTATTCTTTTACAAAAAAACTGAAACTTTTATCATATAAATAGTTTGCAACCATGACAATGATCACAAGGGGAAGGTATGAGGTTAATTCAGCATGTAATTTTTTAAGGGAAAAAAAGACTAAATAATATATCTAGAGAAAATAATGTACCATAAATTTCAGATTTGATTACTGTTTTTTTTTAAAGAAAAACTGGGTTTACATTATTCTAAGAAACATTGGATCAGAATAAAACTCCAAGAAAAGCTTAATGTCGAAACTCTGCTATGATGTACAGAATATTTCAAAAAACACTTGAATATATAATTCCAGAGAAGGTCACTAAATAAAATTGATAACAAGAGATGTACTTTATTTAGCGACTTAATTTATTTGACATTATACAAAAGAAACCCAACAGAAGTTGTAAAACATTATATAAAATCTATGTAATTCAACTCCCGCAATCTTTATATCCATATCTAGTGGATAAAATGTCTGTTACTTCCGCAGGGTCCCTGAAAGTGACTTTTTCCAAGAGTAAATAAAAGCAAAATTAAGAGTAACAGATACTTTTATTTCTTGCTTTTGAAGTTCATAAGTCATGATGTGTTGTATCTTACAGAGTGCATAATCCTTCTCGTGATTCACTGCATGCACACGTTTTACTGACGTCTGAACAGAGTGCATAATCCTTCTCGTGATTCACTGCATGCACACGTTTTACTGACGTCTAACAGTATAAATTCCAAAGCTAAGCATCTCTTATGCGATATCATTTTAGTGTCTACTGACTGACTGACAGACAACACACTACTATATAGTGGTGCAAGTGGTTAAAACAGGTGGTGCCTACAGGCAGCCTTTAGCCCCCTTTAGGAGAAATAAACCTGGGCTATCATTTTGAAAGAAAAATAAGTCAAAAGTATAGTCATTAATAATAAAAAACAGAAGTGTATCTACTGTAAGAGATTTGTTTGTAATATCAGTGTGTAACCACAAAAACAATCAAAGTATCATCCAGTCATTAAAGGAATAAATAAACAAGCAATATCATCTTAACAAGTTCTTGTACAAATGGATGAACAATTGGAAAGAGCAAAGAAACGGGTTATAAGCAAAGAAATGCCAACTAAAAGGTAGACAAAAGATGAAGGTGATGTGTTGTTTTGTTGTGACGACATATTTCTGGTAAACAAATAATAATAATAAAGAAAATGTATAACTGGATGAAATTACACATATAGCCTTAACTATATATACATACAGTAAAAACTATTGCTGTGACGAGCACAACAATAAAATTAGAATAACTTGGCAATGAATCAGATGCGCAGGATGAAAAACATTAATTATTTTGTATGTTTCAGATATGAATGCAAAGCTCAACAAAGGGTTATTTGAACTAGCTGTCATTAATCAATTAACTGCTGCAGGAGCAGCTCAGTTGCCATTTTCTGACTCACAGAAAAAACTGAGTTGCCATCAATCACAATAAAACGATAATTATCATTATTCGCATAGAGTTATTGTTATATATGTGCGACTGACGGATATTTCCGTCATTCGCAGCTGAGCCATAGAACTTCAATGACGAAAATACCTGTCATCCACAGTTAATGGGTTAATCGTGAACTGATAGATTAATGGGACGGCTTATTAAAAACAACCACTGCCAACTCTTGGCTACTCTAATCAAATAGTTTTTAAGTGCAAATCTATGTAATGAGCTATTTGCACCACAGCAACTGTGGAGATCAAACCTTGGATTTTAACATTATAAACTCTCAAGCTAACCACAAAGAGGCATCATACTTAATAAGTACTTTATCGTAAATTACCACTGTGTACCTTACAGAAGATACAAGTTAGTTATACAATGCTTTGTACGCTACACAAGGAGAAAAAAAGTAAAGAGCATATGTTAGAATTAGTTTATGCTCTAAGACCCCATTCTCATCCTGTGGTCCACGAGAATTCTAAAGCAGATCTCCTACAGTTAAGATTGAACTTCCATTATTATATCTTAAAAAAAAAAAAGATTTTTGTTTGATTAAATGAAAATAACACATTTATCTATGTCAGTGTACTTTTATACACTGTAAGATCAGCTTCTGTACACCTAATGGGATCCATGAGGTTGTTTTGAGTTATGAATAGGGTCCATAAAGAAAACTGTTGTAGAACCACTGCTCTAAGATGTAATTATATTTGATAATTTAGTGGGATTCTGATTAATATACTAACCTTTCCCAGTTGAATCACTGGAAGGAGGAGATGGTCCACTATTCCCAGTTGCTACAAGGACCATATCACCTTTCTCTTTTGTAGTGAGAGTTACCCCACTTATGTCCGTAGAGTTTGCAGAAGTGACTGGATTTGAAATGTCATGTGCTGTATGATTGTCAGGGCTGACATCAACATTAAGAGGCTCACATGGTGTTTGTTTGGATGGATCTTTTTCAATGTCTTTCTTTTGGGAACAAGGTTCTTGAGAGTAAGATATGACACTAGTTTTAAGTGATTTCTGTTCGCTCGCTCTATCTTCAACAGGTTTTTCTGATTCTAAAGGTGTATTTATATTATTCCTTTTTTCTGTTGTTTCTTGGACCTTCAATACTTCACCATTCAAACTTTTTTGTTCCTCACTAGCATAATTTACAGACTCATCTTTAGAGCTACTGGATATAATCACATCTTTTATGTTATCCTTATCTGATTCTAATTGAAAACCAAAATTATCCATCTGTGACTTTTCTCTCTCTTTCTTGCCACCAGGACTTGAAGGTGTTCCAAAATCATCATCTAAAAATAAAAACACTTTTTTCAATGTTTCGAAAATTTAATCATGTGTGTATATATGTGTACTAGAGAGTTACCATATACGTACAGTTCACTTTCAAAAACGTCACATAACGTGAGACATAAACCGGAAGATAACACATTAAAGGTGCACTAGCAAAGCTACACAGAAAATAAATAAAACAAAGTCTCACTCTCCAGTTTAAACTGCAATAATTAGAAAAAACAAAACCTATCATATACAAAAGTTCTTAGGAAATTATTCTGAACTCATGACTACTAGAACATGAGACATAAACTGGAAGATAACACATTAAAGGCGCACTAGCATAGCTACACAGAAAATAAATAAAACAAAGTCTCACTCTCCAGTTTAAACTGCAATAATTAGAAAAACAAAACCTATCATATACAAAAGTTCTTAGGAAATTATTCTGAACTCTTGACTACTAGAACATGAGACATAAACTGGAAGATAACACATTAAAGGTGCACTAGCATAGCTACACAGAAAATAAATAAAACAAAGTCTCACTCTCCAGTTTAAACTGCAATAATTAGAAAAAACAAAACCTATCATATACAAAAGTTCTTAGGAAATTATTCGGAACTCATGACTATTAGAACAAAGTCTTCACTTTTTTTCAGATTCTTAATACCTTAATTTAAAAGAAAGCTTTTGATATTCATCATCACAATATTACTGTACATGCTTATAATCTGACAATCAGCCTGAACTTAACATGCAAAAATGTTTTAAGTAAATACCATATATCTAACTATAAAAACAATGATAATTAGCAAAATGTAAAAAATGACAGCAGCAACTACACATGGAAGACAAGTAAGAAAATATTTGACAGATTTTTATATACATCTTATGATCAACATTAGAGATAATGTTGCAATTTTTGTAGAAAATCCATTACTTACAATGTTTTTATAACAATATTTGTAATAACTCTGACATCTGTTCTTCTACTTTATCTGAAATTTAGCATCAAATCATTCACTTGTCATCTTTAAACTTAGGAAGAATACATTTCCAAGTCAAGCAAAATATACTTTAAATAATAACAACAATGAATGTTTACATATTAAAAACTAACTTATCTTACGCATAAAACAAAAATACTGATACCGTAAACACACATGTATGACTTTCCTAAAGAACTCCATAAAGTTCTGTTTAAGGGTCAGTTGATGCACAGTTAACCAGAATAATAGGTTCAACAACAAACAAATCCCAGTGATAATAAAATGCTTTGCTCATCAATAAACACCTCTCACACAAAAGTGGTTTCTGTACATGCTATTCTGTAGCCATCTTTACTGACTGGTATGCTTATTTAAGTCTGCTAGTGTTGCAGTAGTGGTATTTTTGAATGTAAAGAAATAAGTGCATTTATAGACAATGCTCTAATCATAAATAACAATTATGTACTTGACGATGTCTGATGAAAACACATATACATAAAAAAACGTTTAGTGTTAATTTTAAAAGTTGTGAGCTTTATGTTTATTCAATTTATATCGTTTTATTTGAAACAAATTATTTTTTATTCATGACATGTTATTAAGAATATACTGATTATTAAATATCTATATTACTCAAGATAAAATAAAGGTGATGTTTAACATTTGTACAGCTTATGAGTATCTTATTGCTGCTGAATTTTAGATATGTTATTATTCATTATTGAAATGTTACAATTTCAAGATAAACATTACATTTTTTACATCATTTGCAAAAGTAACATACTGATAATATGTACATATTAACATTCTATAATTGACCCTCAATATTTTGATACCAGGGGGTTAAATAACTCCATCAGTCATGAATAAGATTGTAAGCCTAAATATGTAGGAAAAAAATACAAGAATGAAGTATATGTACAGATACTGATTTTTTTCCACTGATTCCTTTTCCTTTGAAGAAATAAGGAATTGCTAGATATCACAGATGTATGAATAAGACATTTAAATATAGGTTGTCTTTCTAATTAGGTAAACCTACCATCTCCCCAATCTAGGTCATCTGATGGCAACTGCTGGTTAGCTCTTTGGACAAGTTCAGCTCGTTTTATTTCAGCTTCTTTCAGTTGCTGAACCCGAAAGAAGTAACGCTGCCAGAATTCATTATGAGACACTGCTGTTGGAACCTGTTTGAAATTAATTCAACACAAATCCGAATGAAAAACGTGTGTGTGTGTGTATATACATTACTATGTAAGATTAATTATTTTCATAAAAATACTGAAAATATTTAAAGTTTAAATAAAGATAGTTGAAAACACCTATCCCATTATAATGCCTCAAAAATAGTTTCAAATGTCCAAAGAATTGTCACTAAAGGTTTCAAGACTCGTATCTTAATTCATAATACTTTGCAAATAATATTTTTCTCATGTTTTTAATGCAAGTACCTTCAAAAGATAACATGCAAAATTTAATCTGTGTTATCCATTTTTACCCAAATAAATGAGCTTAAATGTAATAAAAAAAGTAAATATTTCTTATGGGTTTATAAACTATTCAGTTAGTGGTGATGTTGGTAGTTGACTTTATATCATGTTTTATTACATAATGTTACTAAACAGTTTTTTTTTTGTTCCTCTAACTGATAACCTTGTGAGACCAAGTCATCAAGAAAGTGACAAAGGTTTTGAATTATGTGAAGTAACAACAGGAGCAGTAATTTATTGAAACCTATTCTACCTTATAAAAGGCATTCATTTTCACAAGGAAGAATATTTTATGTTTTCATCAAGTAAATACTGCAATCTTATATTAAATAATCATTTTCTAAGTCTCAACAGGATAACTGAAAACCATTAACTTAAAAACTGATCACTGTAAAAAAACATTAAAATTCATCTATACTTTTCTTATGAAATAGATCTTAAGTATGAACACCAATATTATGTTATAGCTCAAGTACTCAACAGGGTGGTCCAAAAGTAATACGATTCTGATGTATAATAAATGTAACGAGTTTGTTTCAGTCAATACAGAAATACGAAAGTAGCAACGGCCACAATCAAATGAATTTTTTCTTAACTGACCTCTTCTATTCTTATTTACAAATATGTCTACAGTGTAATATCTGTATCGAAGTTTCTGTCAGGAAACTTGTTTTTTTTCATATATGGTCGAAGCTTTGTTTCTTTTGGACCACCCTGTAGCTGATTGCAGTCTTGAGGCTCTCTTAAAGATTTTTTTATACTCCTAAAATAAACTCTGAACAAATTACAAAATTTTGTTTAAATGCCTTTTGAAGTTTTGTTCTCAAGGTGTGTGTTGTTCAGATTTTTATGGTTGTATTTTACAAAGCAACTACAGATACATAATTGGTAAGGAGTAAAAATCAGTTTATGTTTTTAGACTTTTCTATTTTATATCATTCTTCAAGAGAGTAAACTTACACACATTTCTTTATACATACTACAAACCAAAGAAACAAGCCACATACATACATATGCACACACACAAACTAACTATTAGCTTATAACAGCAGCAATAGATACTATTTAAAGTAAAATACCTGCTGACCTTACTGACCTGTAATAAATCTTATTAAAAAAAACATATCAACAATGACAATTAGTGACAAATACACAAGAATTCTCTTAGGCAGTTGTAAAAACTAAAACCATTACACAAGAAACTAAACTTAAAACAACTGATTTTCTCTTTTAACTAGATCATACTTAATTAACACAAAATTATATAATTAATCTAATGCTCTGGTCTAAAACTTTGAAACACGAGAGTCATGTGAACATAATGTCAATAAATGTGCTAAGTTTAATACTATAAATTACTAGCATCAAGGAATGTAACTGAGAGATTCTTTTAAACAAATAAGTAAAAGTGAATCACTCATTTATTGATTACTTCATATAAAATAGTGTGTAGACTTGTTATACACACACACACACATATATATATATATATATACCTTAGTTACTGGAACTAACTTGTATCTACATGCTTGAAGGCATAATTTTAAGACCACTTAACTGTTACAATTTGCACTAGGAAAGTTTAATTTGACATAAATGAACAAAAAGTTTTGAGCTTTGTCAGTTTTGTGTTACTATTTTATGAATAAAGTGGGATAGTAACATACAGATGTATTGGAATTGTTATCTGCCTTTTGCAACAAGTATTTTTCATCATTTTGTCTTATCAAAGTGTGAAAAGCTACTAATAAGGCCGAGTAATATATATTTAGCACCCCAGTCTATTTCCTTTTTTTGTAGCTGCCTCCCTCCACTTTCTTTATGCCATTTTTTCTTTCCTTAAATTATCATTTTTTGATCATACAAAGAAAACTTCTCAATAAAAAATTAGATGAAGAGTTGATTCATTTTGCCCTTTTTCTTTATTTGTCATAAATTATGTATTGTTTTGTCGCAAACATGAAAAAAGAAGACTTGTTTGACAAGAACCCTTTGAAGACGAGTAACATCACAAAAAAAAGGGTGCAAATCTTCTTTTATAGAGGTCATTTAATAAAAAAAAGGATCTCCTCCTTCCTTTTTCAAAAATTCCAGGCACTAAATACGTTTTTTTCTTACTTGGCCTAATCCACTAGAGTAAAAGTGCTTGTGCATAAATTACCAAGATAAATCTTGCACACTAAACTTTCAGAAACTATGTTGTGTAAAAAAAAAGTGTTATCAAAAAACCAAAAAAATACATCTACACATACACTTATTTTCTATAACAGCTGTGCATGTCATGATTGTATATTTTTAAATGTAATTTATTTTGGAAGTTAATTGTAAACAAAGCTTATTCTCGAAAAAAAAAGCAATATTAACTTACCAATTTTGCATACAAATTTCTCACTTGACCACATTCAACCATGATTTTAGATATTTCTTCCTGATGTGCATTTAAATCAAAAACCTCTAGCCACGTTTCATACATTTCTGGTGGACTTTCTGGTTCACGGCAATATGTCTTTGGATCAACTCGAATAGCATGAAGCTGAGACTATGTTATAAAAGAATAAGTAATGGTAACTAATAATGTGTTATTTCAATATGCTCTATCACTTCTTTATAACCTTTATGCTAATATTTTTATGATTATGTCATCAATTTTTAATATTTTATATTATTACTATATACAATTACAAATAATGTACTGCTTCTTTGGAAATATTGGTTTGTGAGTCAAAACGTCTATATTTTATAATGATTCTATAATTACACAGTATATTGTCATATAAACATATGCAACTGTAAATACACATCTGGTATATTCAGGTGAACTGAATATAGATCTGAAATGTTAACATTTTCCTGAATAAAAAAATGTGATTCTGATAGATACCTCTGTACATAGAAAGCTACTTTCCTCTTGAAGTCGCACAATTCTGCCTTAGAGCTTTGCATGCCACCAGCTTTGTGGAATTCCTATCTAATATTCACATTAAAACACGTGAATTTGCACTTGCATAAATGTGCCCTCTACATTCATGATGACAAAAACCTTGTTGAAATATTGTACATTTACTGTTAAGTTAAACTTATATTAAAGTTTTTTCATTACCCATTTACGCCCTCCAAGGTTTTGTAATCATCAGGTACAAGTAGTTTACACTGACACAGATATATATATATATATATACAGTATTGAACAAAGAGTTCACATGACTGAATACTGTTGCAAAACCAAAACTTAGAAGAGGTATCTTGGCACCCCAGGGTGTTGGTTTAGAGTAGGGTTGTTTTGTTCAATTAACGTGGATTCCTTGATTTTTGTTTATGTTTGGTTTCTTGTTTAAAATGACTGTGTTTTTAATAGATATACTAT